CCTTTTTAACACGTTATAAAGTAAATAAAAAAAAATACAAGCCCACTTTTCAGTCACCTAATGGTACAGGTCACACTTAAAGAGACTAGGGCCAATATTAAGCCCTCTTAAAGTATTGAGCTTTCTTTCTCTTAAAAAAAATCTTCCACACTAAAATTTTCCCAGCATTTCCTTTTTATAATTCTAGACAAAAATACTGTGGGAAGTCTACAAGACTGATTATTCTGTTATCCAAACATATCCATAAAAACATTGAAAGACCATCACAAAGCAAAAGTGCATCCAAGTTAATCAAAAAGTATTCCCAGATCCTGATATAAATGCTTGTTGAATTTGCACTTAAAATACCAGTATATTAAAACCTCATGTTAATACACTAATTATTTATGCAAGTGTACTGATGCTACAGATGGCAATCCTTACTAAAGGACTCAGTCTGATAATGACTCTAACATATGAGAGAGAGGAAATTTGCCATTGTCTTGACGGGTCATATTTTATAGGCCATAGCTGCAGAAATGCTTCTTTTCTTCTTCTCCTTTTGAATGATTTGCCTTCCCACAGAGTTACTAACAATAAAGTAATGCTTTTCTGATCAGGAATGTGGTTGACTAGAGTTTGGTTCTTTATTGAGAAACAGTTCGTAGAACCATATTAGAATCTTTACAGTTCAGGGACCCAGTATACCTATCTATGCAAATGCATGACCCTATTTCATAAATAGCCCTAAGTAGTAGCTATTTCAATGATAAACAATACATCATCATGATGAAATATCTATGCTTGGGAACCCAAAATATTCTGTTTTCTAAGATGGGATATGGAGACATTGCATCAGTGAGCCACTAGATTCAAATTTATAAAGATTAAGCAGAAGCAGAGAAAGAAACAGTGGACTGTTTAAAAAAAAAAACTGTTGAAGGGAACACCACCCTTGCAATAGCCCTTTAAAAATTATCTGTATTCCATAATTGGATCAAGTCACTTCCTCAACTGACTTCCTTGAGGGGAAAAATAATCTTCTTAATGCCAGGGAGATCCAGATTCTATTGTCAGCTCTGCCACAGATTTGTGGTACCTTAGGCAAATCACTTAACCTCTCATTGAACAGTTTCCTTATCTATAAAAAATGCTAATTCACACTCTCAGATGTTTGTTGTGAGGCTAAATTCATTAGTGTTTCTGAAGCACTCAGCTACTTTGGTAAAGAGTGCCACAAGATGAGGCCATAAAAATAGATTTATGGGTAGTTGATCACGGATCATTTTACTTTGCATAAAGCTAGAATTTGGCAGCTTGCTTTTGCATGGTTCTGTTTTCACTTGTTTTCTTTATGTAGTCTATGAATTATTTTGTAAGTGTTAAGCTCAAGCTAAGTTTGCCCCTACCCAGCTACTGGGGCAAGAAGGTACAAAGATCCACTAAACCTTCTTGTGGAGAATAAATCACAAGCCTTTCCCTACTTCCAGTGGAGCCATATCTCTCATTCGTCCACACTAAGGAATGAAGTTCAGTAAACCATATATCACTGACATAGATGCTGGGTGCTGGTCATTAATTTGTGCCCTTTGTGATGTATAGAAATATACCTGAAAGCTTTGGAACATTACCCTCAGCAATGTCTTTGGAAAATCCTCCAGATCAACTGGAAGGGCAGAAGAATGAATGCTAGTGTTCTGGCTCAAACACCACCAGCACTGAAATCATGTTTATATGGCACCAGCTCCATTGGACAGGACGTGTCATAAGGATGCCTGACAGGTGGCTCTCAAAACAGGCCCTGTACTGCCAACTCACCTATGATCACTGCTTTAGAGATGGGAAAAAGAAGAGCTTTAAGGATACCTGGAAGGACAATTTAAAGAAATGAAATAGTAACATCAATACCTGGGAGGCTCAAGCACTCAATCACCCCCCACTCGGCACCATTATGTACAACAAGACATGGATCATTTTGAACAAACTCACCTCACTATGGAGGCAGATTGATAAGAGAGACAAAGGGAAAGAGCTGTGACCTGACATTATCAGCATCTACTCCTTCCTCCCAGAACTATTTGTCATGTCTGCAGCTGAATATGCAGATAGGCTTCGGCCATCTACAGATTCACCAGTGACTTTCCTGTTTACTGAAAGACTGTCATCCTTGTATCAAGGGACTGTTAGCACTGCTGCTAGTGTAATAAGACAATAAAAGTAAGCATACCATACGGACGTAGTAAAAGTTATGTCAATTTGACCACCATCATCTGAAAGTGGCTTGCCTAATATACATGAATTTCAATTTGGTGCAGTCCTGGGGAAAAACACTGTATCAATTAGGCAATGACAATGTTGAACACCAAACCCAAAGCTTCTAAAACAGCCACCATTTTTAAAGGATTGTATTGTGTATTGAAACACTTTTAGAAACTATGACAAAAATATAGTCAGCTATTTTGTTAACCCCAAAACCATTCCAATTAGCTGGATCTGAATGTATAGAATGTACATTGTTTCCTTCCGTTGACTATATAGAAAGGCATGCTGGCCAAAAATAGTAGAACTGGGTTTGGACCCCCTAGTCCAGACTAGTCTTTGGTCATAGAGGCCATGTGTAGGTGAAACAAGGGGCATGTGTGCACGACACTTTAAAGCAGGTTAAATGCTTTTGCACCGCTTTAATGGTGTTCGTATTTGCATGCGTCAGTGGTGTATTGCCCAGTAATTCCAGCCACTGTAGCCAATTTGGCAGCATAATGCACCTTAAATGACTTGGGGCACAGCAAACTAAAACTCCGCCAAGGAGTTTTAATTTGCTGCCCTACAGCCATGGAGGAAAGCACTGGGCTCCATGCAGCTCAGGGGCTCTGAAGCAAGCCCGTGCAGGCAGCCTGGCAGCAGTCTGGGAAGGAAGGCTCCGCCCAAGTGGCACACCTGATCTTTTTTTTCCCCACCTGGAGCCTGCCTGCTTGCCTGAGCTGCTCAGGGGCCCGGTGCTTCCCTCCATGGCTGCAGTGTGCCCTGGGACCACCTGAGCCAGGTACCTGTGGGCAGGTGCCACCTGGGGGGGGCCACCACTGCCATGGAGGGAAGCACCCTCTCCCCCACCCCCTGCAGCCCAGGGACTGATCCACCCACTGGCAGCTCGCCCTCCCCTTCCTGCCGCCAGAGAGGCAGGTAAGTTTGGGTGTGTGCATGACATGGGGCTTTAAAGGGCCCTAAACTGAAGCGGATGTTTTTAAAAATGTACCACTTCAATTTAGGGCCTCCATTTTGTCTACACACACCCAGAGTAATTTCTAGGGCAGTGGCATAATGAAAGGGTGCTTGAGAGAGGGGATAGCAGCATCAGTGGATTTCTTGCAACTGTTGATGACTTTTCCAGTTCCACAGTTTTATCCTGTGAAAGCAGAGATGTCCCTTTACTCAAAACTAGCAACTTATTTCCTTTCCTTTGCTTTCCTTTCTGAACAGAACTTGTTCTAAAACATTTCCTTCCACTATATCCTTTGCCCAAATGAAGAGCACTACAGCAAGCTTCTCACTTTGCTCAGCTGAAACACCATATAGGGGCAAATTGCACCCTATTCTGTTTCCATTTATTTTAACCAAGGGAGTTGCACCCATCTAGGCCAGGACTGAATTTAGCCCATAGCACAGTAAGCTTTCAGCAGCATCAGGGCACTGAATTCCTAGAGGATGTAAAGACCTTAGGTTTGGAACAATGCAAAACCAGTGCCAAGGAATATTGAGACTGTCTGCTTCAGAAATAAAAAAAAAAAACCACTGCTATGTGTCTGATACTTCCATGATAGTCAGTCTTTTTGGTGGGCCACAAATTAGCCCCATACCCTCCCGGAATGCCACTCTGATATCTTTCCCTGGTCACTCTGCTTTTTTATTCCTGTCCTACCTGCTGCTCTGCTGCCTGTCCTTTCCCTGTCATGAGCCACACACAAGCTGCCTAGTGCCTATGCTCTTGTGGTACAGGTTGGTCCTCCCCTGCACTAGTTGATCAGAAAACAGATTGATGAATGTGCCATGTAATATAATTCAAAGTGAAATCATTGTCCAGAATAGCGTCTGTGGCTGCCACAGTTTTCTAAAGTATAACTAAATCAATACATAAGCACACTGCAGTAGTTTTTATAAAACTCCTAACCCTAAACTTGAGGTTTAGTTTGAAGAAAACCCAAAACTTTAAGATTTAGATGTTTTGGTTCTGTTTATATTTATTTATTTTCCTTCTGACTTGTTTTGGTACAGATTCAAAACAGCAGTTCAATTATCACAAAAATATCTTCTCCTGCTGTAGTTACTGTTAATTTGAAACTAGGCTAGGAAAAAAAATATTATGAAATCCAGTTTCTAGACCATACAAATCTGGATAAGCATTACTATCTGTTGTCACTGATTTTTTTTTTCCTGTGACGGGAATCATTTATGATAATCTTGAGCTGATAATAGAGGCCACATTTACATGTGTGCTTTACTGCAAGCTGCAGAGTAAAGTGTCACTGTCTACATGTGAGACACTATTAGGTCGCAGTGAACTAATTAACACTGCGATAAGATAGTACTGTCAGTGACAGTACTATCTTATGGCTGAGTAATTCACTACAATTAAATACACATGTAAATACTGACAGTGGGCATATATCATGACTCCTGCCTGCCACTTAGCCACGCAGCTCTGCAGTTTCAGCACCCTCGTGCCCCAGCCAGCCCCTCTGCCACCGCCACTGCCACCCAGAGCCTGGGGCAGAGTAGGGCAGGAGTGGCCCTGGCATAAACTGCTCCATCTTGGCTCAAATTGCTGCTGTTCTGGGCACAAGTATAGTTGCTGCACCTAGAAGTAGTTTACTCCAGCTCAAACTGCTCCAGAGTTTATTGTTCTGAATTAATTGCACATGTAGATGCACCCAGAATATGTTAAATTGCTCACAGAAAGGAGGGATAATGCTTATCTCACACCATGCTACAACAAACATGGATTCATTTGAATTAGCAAAATCTTACCTTGAAAACTGTCACCTGCAACATCAGGGATCCTGTTCACTGTTGGCACTTGAGAGTACTAACAAATTATGGACTCCACTTTACAATGCTTGTTTCTAGGAGGTATGTAGTTTCTTCTGTTACTTTGAGAGAGTCTTGTTTCTGTCACTCTGACATAAGATGATCTCATTTGTATGACAAGCAGGGGCTTATTGCAGCTTGTATAGCAAATGTCACATTTTATTTTAAGTAGCACGTGCAAATGCATTTGAAGCTATATAGATGGATTTAAGGCATACTCCTGTCCTGAGCAGTTTATTAGTTACTATATACTAATTGCTCCTTAATTTCTTTCTTCTGTAATGCCAAGAAGCGTGTTGGATTATCCTAACGATGAAGAGCAGTGAAGTTGTGGTGACTGGTTCATGAGTCAAAAGGCAGGTCACTGTAAGCGATTAAAAGTTCTATTAATCTCCCAGGAATTAGACTTGAAGTGCCTGACTCCATAAAAAGACATGGAGGGCAAGGGAAACAAAACAAAGAAAGGTCAAAGTCCCACCAAGGGACCTGCCTGTTAATCAACAGCAGTACTTACTAGCTTACCAGAAAAATACATCCAAGTCCAACATTTTAAAAACCTTTTGTAATGGTGTTATTCTGTACAGCTACAGAACCAGGGCTCACAGATTTCAAGACAACTGAAAAATGTTCGTGAATGTACTCCTACAACACCAGTTAGATGAGCACCAAGAGAAAGGGCTCCTCTGTTTTCCAGGTGGGAAAAGTGAGGCAATGAACAGTCTTTGCTTGTCAAAGGACATGCATGATGTTTCTGGCAAAGGAAGGACTGGAACCCAATTGTGCACCTTCACCATTAGGCAAGAGTTACTTAGAGAACTGCTGTGTTAGGAGAGTGCCTGATCAGACCAGCCCAGGTAGAGGCATTGTCCCTTAAAGAAGAAAAAAAAGTGTCCTGGGGCACTTTGGCATTCATTATTCTGTTTACAGGTGTCCATTTAATAATATGGCTAACAATCTTGGTCAATGTGGAAGGGTGCAGAGACATAATCCAATTTCCTTCCCTTCTCTCAAGAGTGGGGCTTTACTTTTTGGTTTCCTGGAGCCTTTGTGATCAGGTACCTCTGCCAGGTAAGAGCACAGAAAAAAAACCCTTGCACTTTGTGTGTCATCTTTCACAGTGCTACAGAAGTTAGCTATGATTTTTCCTTTCTGATGAAGTAGGCTGCTGTCTAGGAAAGCTCATGCTTCTCTAAGGTGCCAGCCTGCCCTGCTTTCTACCTGTCCCTTTTATATGTTTGGGATACATAACAAGTATCTTTACAAACAGCCCTGAAGTTATGTTAGCAACAAACTTTGAATCTCAGTAATCACAGCTAGGTTCTATGGACTGCATGAACAAAAAATGCAGTATAAGTGTAGCATTTTGATTGGGCTACTTTGTAAAATTAGTGATCTCAATGATCACTTTTGAAGGAACTAATTAAAATGGTTGAGCTTTCAGTCCTCTGCCTGAGGACACAGGAATGTCCTTCTGCTTTTTCCTAATGGCTTCAATAAATTTAATCTTTAAGCGGTCCATCAACTGTGCTTCATGCTGATACTGGTGCTCTTCCTTTTGTTGAAAAGGAGGCTTAATTCTCTCTCCTTACCCTGACTGCCCCTAGCGCCTTAATGGGGGATGGGGAGTTGGTGTTTTATAGGAGCCGATGACAGCAAAAAGAGACGTGGGATGTTAATTTTCTCAATTCTAAAAGTACCTCAAAGAATGTGTTTCAAACAGGCTCCTCATCACTTTGAAGCTTCTACTCAAAGGACCTAATGACTGGCTTATGTGTGGAAAATATATCTTATGGGAGTTTTAGCTTTTCTTTGCCATCTGACTTGTCAAGATGTCTTCAGTGCCGGCTCGATGCCAGATGTCTCTCAAAATGCTTCAGATGTCACTGCAGAAAATTCAGTCCAGGGTCATGTCTTTGTTTTGTTTCCTTGAAGAGGCATTGATTCCTGCTCCCCCCTCCACAGAGGATTTTATTGAGCTCTTGAGAAAGGGAATGCTACTTCTCCTGTTCAGAGCAGACTCCTGAAAATGTAAAGCCCTGAAGGGCAAGCAACCAGCTCTGCTGAAATAGGAATGCAACATGTTGGAGTGAAAAACAGTATTCTTAAGCATTTAGGCTGTCTTTGAATTGGTTTCATGTTAATGAAACTCAATAGGGACTGAAGGGCATCACACTAATTTACAGTGCAGGCCTTTTGACACCGCCAGAATGACATAAAAGGGCATTAGGCCTTATCTACACAGAGGCTCCATTACTTTAACTAAAACTATTTAAAAAAAAAACCCATACAAACCCAATTTAGTTAAACCAGTGTAAACACTTGTGCAAATACTTATGTTCTGCTTAACATAGACTATACAATTCTTTAGCTTGTGCCTGTAAAAAGAAAGTCATGATGCAAGCTAAACTTCTATAAGAGGTTTAAATTGCAGTAAGACTGTCCGCATAGGGATTTATACTGTTTGACTAAAGTTTAAAAAAAACAAAAAAAACCCTACCACACACATGACTGTGTTGTTTAGCTCAGACCTCAGTATAAATGAGAAGGCAGCTTTGAAGTTTGTTACATTGATCTCTTTATGCAGGGGGCTCAGTTTATGAGGAACTGTAAAGAAGGCTTTAAATATTTCACACAGTGGTCTATAAATATTGTTATTGTTAGCTCTGAAACGATTAATGCCGGCATTAGTATGAAGCTACTCTGCCCTGCAGTGCAACGGCCTTAAGCTGAGCTGAATTGGATCAGCATCTTTCTCGCTGCATATCCATGAGTTTGCACTCACAGAGCCTGGAAGTAAGCTAGCATGCTAGCCATTAGAGGGATTTTACAATAAAAAAAATTCAATACTGAGACATTGTCTAGAGCTAAAACTAGATTTTAAAAATAACAATGGTCGGGGATTTTTCAGGATGAAAGTGTTCTGGTGATCTTTCTCAGATGAAAAATCCACCTTTCTCCTATGTATATGGTAGCATATTTCATATTGCCTAAAGCACAGCTGACATCTGTGCATCAGCCTCAGAACTAGAACTCAGAAGTAAAGCTGGTTGGAAAGCAAGTTTTCTGGATCACAGGATATTTTGATTTGCTTGAAAATTGTTTCATAGCTTAATCGGACTGAATGGTTACTATGCCCATTAGAGACAAACAGAGCTGCAGACATTTAGCGCTACAGACAATCTTGAAAGGTGTGACTTTATAAAAAAATCTGTCCTCTTAAGTTATTTTAAACCCATTTTGAAGGAAGAGGATACCAGATGGCTCTTGATGAAAACTAGTTGTGTTCCTGTTTGCCACAAGATGCGTGAACTGCGGTGGTTGGTGTCAGCTTACTAAATATTAAACTTCTCTCTTAAGTATTGCTGCCTGCAAAAGTAGAATTTCTTCCCCTGGTAAGTGCAGTGATTATTTGACAACAAGCTCTGATGAGCCAGAGTTTTTGGTGCAAGCTATTAGGAATACCATGTTCAGAAGAAATAGGTAGATCTGTCCACACAAGGGGGGTGTTTAAAAAAAATTCCTGCTATCAGCAGCTTCAGTAATCTTGGTATAGATAGATAGGATCTTCTCACCATTTTAAACACCACGTGATTATGCTTGTCCTCAGCAAGATTTCATCAACACAGTGTATCCAGACTGCTGGCTGCCAATATATCTTCCAGTACTAACACTAGACAGGGCCTCAGAGTTAAGTCATTTTCCCTACCCCCAAAAAGGCTTCACAATGAGCAGAGCTATGATATGCATGTGGCAACTTTCAGATGGTTTCATTCTCCTAATATGAAAAAAAATGAAATTCACTTTAAGCAGGATCCACTCAGATAGATAGATAGATAGATAGATAGATAGAGTGAATCCCGATTAAAGTGAATTTTGATTTTTTTATATCTATCTATCTATCTAGAGATAGTGGATCCTGCTTAAAGTGAATATATATATAATGGAAGAAATTCTAGTTTTATAGGCAGCAATATTCAAGAGGAGAGTTAAATATTTAGTAAGCTACTATAAAGATAGATGGATAGATATTAGGGCTGTGTGAAGCTTCGGTCCCTGATTCAATTCAGCCTGATTCGATGCCTGAATCTCCAAATCCAAATTGAATCAGGAGCCCCTTTAATCTCTCTGAATCAAATCGGAACCCTCTGAATCAGAACCCTCCAAATTGATTTGGAAAGATTTGGCGATTCAGACATAGACACAGCTTCAAATGTTTTTTTGACATACCTCAAGGTACCAGGTGGCTCGTGAATGCTGTGATGCTGGGGTGGATGGAGTGTCCCATGGGAGTGTGGTGCGGGGTCCCCAGCGTGTTCAGCAGCAGACCTGGAAGTGGACCAGAAGTACTTCCAGTCCACTTCCGGGTCCGCCAGGGAGCGTGCAGCCCCCCCCCCGTGGGGTGGTCCATCCACCCCACCATCTCAGCAGTCACGAGCCATGTCTGGTACCTCAAGGTGTGTAGAAAAAAACATTTAAAGCTGTGTCTATGGCCGCATCGCTGATTCTCTGAATTAGCATCAAATCTTCAGATTCAGCCGAATTGAATCGGGACAGTGAACTAAATCAACGAATTGAATCACTGTTCCTGATTCAGGCCAAATTCAAATCAAATACAGCTCATTTTGCACACCCCTAATAGATATCTATATCTATACTTAGCTATAGATAATCAGCTTACTAAATATATATACATACCACTACATATCTCTCTCTCACACACACACACACACACACGGAGTGGTTTATAAATATTCATGCATTCACAGCATGCAATATAATGCCTCTTCTGGAACCAGTACTTTGTGCTGTGAAAGCAGATTAACAATAATGCAGATTGTGCTATAGACCCATAAAGCTGATTGCAAAGCAAAAACGCTCAGGGAAAGTAGCCTTAGAGCATGCAGTTACTCGAATACATCTCAGCTATTTTGTATATAGATTTTTTTTTTTTTTTTTAGTAAAAGTGCTGTCTTTTTTTAATTATATTTTTTAGCCAGTAGAGTGCAAAGAGCATCTATCACTTTAAAACTTCTATTTTCCTCTGGTAGTTTTCTTCATTGAATGCAGTTCTCTTACACGGTTTGTTTAGTTGTTGACTATATGTGATCAACTGTTGGACACTAAGTCGGTCGCTATATATTTGGAATTCTATATATAGACAGAAGCTTGGGTTCTACTTACACCACAACTCCTAAAAAGGATGCTGTCTGGATTAGAACCAACTGGAACATGGCATGCTCTGAATGTGGTGTTTGAAACCAGTAAAGATCTATTTCCTTTTAGTTTTTCTTCATAGCTATTTCCAAAAAAAGCAGCTGGTACAGAAGTTGAGCATATTAGCTCCAGATAAGTCTAAATTAAATTGAGAAACTGGAATAAAGGTACAACACACAGAGCCGACACTGCAGCTCTACGGCTTCATTTTGTTAGTATTCAGTCACCCTTGACTCAAATGCCAAATTCTCTTCAGTGCATGTGTGAATCAGGCATCTGAAATTAGAACTAAACAAAAGGGATGCTTACATCATAGTGCAATGCACAAAGAATAATACAGGACGTGCTGAAGAACCTGTAGCATGTAATGCTGAAAATAGGAAAGACACAGACCAGATCCAAGCAGTGTTCTCAGTTTTATATACATACCACCCTGCTGACATCACTGGGAGTTATGCAAATCTATCTGAGGCAGAGTTT